ATCTGTAGTCACTTTGAGAGTTAAAAAAGCATATACAGGGAACACAAATTAATGTAAATGGCTCCTGATAATGTAGGCCTACTTTGAGGTCTTATGAAGTGACATGATCGGTCTGTGCAAGAAATTGAATATTATTTACAACAATATTACCTGGAATCCATAGCCTTATGGAAACGGTCCTGAGTATGTTCACAAGAGTATGTGGCGGCAAATTTTCAGCAAATTTTTGGAACTGCCAATTTTAATTTTTGGGTGAACTATCCCTTTAAGGCTGTGACTTAGAGTTCTAGATAAGTTGATTATAAAAACCAAATTTTGTGATGTTACACCAAAGCATTTGCATACTTTCTCTTGTTAGTTTGCAGATAATCTTTTTTTAAAAACACACAGACACAGATAGTCAGAAAAAACACAGGCAGCAGTTTCAGAATAGTTTATATCTCTATTTATTTTCCCTTAGAACAGAACTTTAATAAATGTAGCTGTATTTTCATCTTACCTTCAAAAAAGGTCATGACCAGTGAGACTGATTTATAAATATTAATCAAAGTCTTTGTGTAAAAAAAAAAAAAATCAAAGCAAATTGTTGAAGCATCTATTGTATGACAATATGACACTGTAATAATAACTGTTATTTCTATATACTGTATGTCTGTCCATTTCTATGCTTGTAAACCGCAGGTTCCAGTTGCAACCTTTCCAGAGGAGAAGAGCATTCATTGTGTAAATCATACTTTTTGACAAGTGGTCAACAGTGATTAAAATCTTGATAAACATGACAAACAAAAGTGTCTGAACAACAGAATCAACAACAAAAGCACAGGAAAAACCTCAAAGAGGACAGGCTACATTCCAATAAATCTTACCATTTATATCAGAACAACCAGATTTCGACAAAATGGGATCAGGATCGGTTATGTGACTTATGACACTATGGAATTAAATCCAGGGGAACAAGAGAGATATCTGGGAAATACGGATTCTAGACGGTAAACGGGATCTTATACAGCGAGGCCAGATTCAGGGTTAGATTATATATGAGCAGTCTTTGACTTTACAATGGAAATACAGTACAGTGACAGAGAATACATTTGGGATAACTAAAAAAGGAAATCTCTGATCCTGAAGTCAGCATGAAACAGGTTGGTAATTAACAAATGCCCTACATCATCAGATGGACTACAATATGTTCTATGCAGCTCTTCCAAGCTGGACATTCATACATTTTCATAGTCTCTTGATAATCTGTGATCATTCATAGTCTGATATCTTCAATTAAATATGATCTCATTGTATAATCCTATGCAAAGGCAAAACAGTAACTACAGCAACACTGAGCATGAAAATGGCTCCATTTGTTAGAATTTTATTGTAACTGATTTGATATAAATTCAAACTGTTTTTTATGATTTTTTTTTGAACAGCCAAACCCATATCTTCTATCATAGTAGACCCAGTTTCAGTCATAACTCTGTTGCTGTGTGTTGCCTTTGCATAACAGTGTAAATAATAATTTTCATTTAAGAGTTGGTGTTGCCTTCACCTAGTGTAATAGATATTGTGTTATGTTGTTAATATTATACTGGGAAAGTCTAGATGTGTCACGATCTCTAGCTATAGTGACCTCGAGCTCTGCTACTCAGTTTCCACTTATCATCAATTGCAATCACCTGTCTCTCATCACCTCATCAGTCTCACACCATAAGAATAGCACACACACATGCTTACGTCGCTGGTGATTGAATGTTTTCCAAGTTGGTCTAGAACAGAGTCCAATGCAGGCTTTATTCAATAAGGCGTAGTCATACAGGCAGGGTCCAGTAACAGCAAACAGTTATATCCAAGGCAGAGGCAAAAGAGTAATCCAGACAACGGGCAATGGTGAGGGCAGACAGCAAACAATCAGAATCAAGGAAACAGTCCAGGGTCAAAAACACTAAGGCATGGTAAAACTAGGAAACTTGGAAAACATTCAATCACCAGCGATGTGAGCTCCTGTCAGTGCATTCCAAACGGGATATATCGCCCTCCGAAGGGTACTTCGGAGTGAAAACAATCATGGCCGCCATATTGAAGGGTCATTCCAAACCGAAGTGCTCAAAACTGGCCACTTCAAAGGGCCCTTCGGAATGAAGGATTTCGAAGGGTACAATTGATGGACACTTTGGGCTCCCATGATCCTTTGCTTAGATTCTTTGCATGATGACGGCGCCTCCGTGTGGACACATGATGATGACGCAGAAGGGCACTTCAAGAAACAGTTGTTTGGTTTCCTACACCCTTCAACCCTTTGAAGCTCTCACTCCGGAGAGTAAACCCTTTAAAGGGTTTAGGGCATAGGGATGAGCCCTTCCAAATGAAACGCAGGGCGTGTGTTCTATTCTTATGGTGCGAGATTGATGAGGTGATGAGAGACAGGTGATTGTAATTGATGATGAGTACGGGCAAAGGATTATGGGAAATGGAGTCTGGGGCGAATGGTAAAAGGTACAGGATGGGGTGACCTCTAGCAGTGCTCGCGGGCACTCCAGCTAGAGATCGTGACAAGATGAGCCTTTAAAATCAATGGTGCTCATGTTTTCATCACTCAGCTGAATAGTGTGATAAAATAAATAAATGAAAATAAAAGGAAAGAAAACAAAATGTTATGCAAAACTTTGGCATGCTGTTCTTTATATGTTTAATATATATACACTGGATGAAGGCATAATGTTTCTGCTGAATGATCATTAAAATTTAACAAAGTCATCTGGGAAAATTGACATCCTTTAAGTTAGCATTGTACATCATTTGATGGTGAAAAATTAAGAAATTAAGACAGTGAAAACACTACTGAACAAAATTATGTGGAATAAACGGACACATGTTCTCAGAAACAACTTAGAAACACTGACAGAGAAGTTTTAGAGTAAAACCAAGAACATTTAATCACTTGCACAGTTAAATTTACTCTAAAGCAGAGACGTACAGAATGTATGTTTTTGGACAATGGCTCAAAAACAGAACCAGGGGACCTGTGCATAAAATAGTGCTTGTGTTGCGTTACATGTTTTAATTAACAAGACATCTCTGTGTGACTTTAGAGATTCTGAAAAGTTTAGTTTCCTGTTTTGTGAAGTGTACTCTATTATTGTGTATTGATATTTCTCAAATTAGCCTATACACTAATAAAAGAAAACATTTTAAATTAACTAGTGTAATTATTTTTATTACAGTCTATGAAAAATATATAGATAATAATCTATAAATAGTATTCCAAGATGGGCATTTACTGGTAGTTTGCCCTAAGAATTGTACACCTGGGCCAATGTCACCAGTCTCTCTGTGCATCTCTGCTCTTAAGTAATTTGAATTTAACTTTACAAGAATTAATTTAGCGGTAGTGAATTTACTCTATAAACAAAAAGAAAATAATGACCAAAGGAAAGTGTTGAATGCACAGGTGTATACGAGGATCGTCAGAAAATAAGGTCCTGACAAAGGCAAAACTGCACATAATCCCTATTAGCCATTACGCTCAAACACTGAAGACAACAACCACACAGAAGGAGAAATGTAGAGTAAGCCCTTAACTCCTTCTCCACACACTACTATTTGCTAAGCCCTTTACACAATACATAGTTATTTTTGACAGGGAAATTATGGTAAAATTACAGTGTAATTGTGTATGATTATGATGGAACAGCACATTCTGTTCAGCTATTTCAATTCCATTCGCACATGAACTGTGGTAGTTAACCTTAGTTAAACCAGCTTCACATACAAGCGTGTTAAATAAACACATTCAAATTGTCAAGCAATGAGTAAAGATATAAACATTGTTGATGCTAAGAATTACATAAGGACCACATACTGAAAAAATTATGCTTTCACAGAACATCTAAGATGCAATTAATGCAGAAAGGCTGAAGGGGATAGCACATAATTAAATGAATAAAGTGCATAATAAAGTAGTGTCATGTATGAAAATACTTATCATCCTCCTCCTTTACAGTTGTGTGCCAAAGCCCTGTTCATTTGATTATTTTGACCTGTTGTAGACTATATTTGTATTTAAATGTGTACCATCACAATGGGGTCTTTACACTCTGGAGTCTATACACTCTCAGAAAAGAAAAAAAGGTACAAAAGCTGTCAATAGGACCATACCCCTTCAAAAGGTACACCTTTGTACCTTATTTACCCCTAATAGGTTCATATCAGTATCTTAAAGGTACATATTAGTACCTTTTGAAAGGGTACAGTGACAGCTTATGTGATTATGTACTTATATTTTTTTCTGAGAGTGTACATCAGTAGTAAGTCATGTACATCATATGGAGATGAAGATCTTGGAATAAACAGAATCTCATGGTAGTTAACAAACTCATACAGTTCATACACTTAGGGGAATAATCATCATTTTCTAATATAATGCGAGGTGGTTGTATCTGTTTCTTAGAAGGTGGAGAAGAAAAACTAAATTCACTAACTGATGCCAATTGCTGCTTTGATTTTGAGGCTTTGAGTACATCTAATTTAAAAACATTTTATTCAGGATGAAAATTTATGCATTTTAAAGAGAGACATGAATCTGTAGCCTGTATCCTGTCTGAATGGTGCTGATGACTTTGTGGTGTGACACTCACTCTCAAAATACACAAAATACTGGCACGCAACATATAAAGAGAGAATTTGACAGGACCATGGACACTCAAGTCACTTTCCAGGTTGCTCTGAAACCACTGAACAGAAGTCAAAACCATCTTGAAGTGAAAATAACAGCTGAAAATAAAAGGGAAAAGTTAGATAATCTCCTAGTGCAAAGTGAAATGACATTTTGTGTGTGCGTGCGTGCGTGCGTGCGTGTGTACATCTTAAAAATAGTCCTTTTTATTATTTTATTTTATTTAGGATGAAAATGTACGCATTTGAAAGAGAGACATGTGAATCTTCTACCAGTAGCCTGTCTGAATGGTGCTGATGACTTTGTGGTGTGACACTCACTCTCAAAATACACAAAATACTGGCACGCAACATATAAAGAGAGAATTTGACAGGACCATGGACACTCAAGTCACTTTCCAGGTTGCTCTGAAACCACTGAACAGAAGTCAAAACCATCTTGAAGTGAAAATAACAGCTGAAAATAAAAGGGAAAAGTTAGATAATCTCCTAGTGCAAAGTGAAATGACATTTTGTGTGTGCGTGCGTGCGTGCGTGCGTGTGTGTGTGTGTGTGTGTGTCACAATGTGTGTTCCAGAAGAGAGTGAGGAGTCACTGTGGGGGCATGTTCTGACTCTTCATATTATGCTTATCTTTTGTCCCGTGTCCTGTTCGCTGTTTTCCCCAAACCCCACAAGGTGCTGATGACAAGTGTGGTTAAGTGTTCTCTGGTTGAGACTGTTAGCCTCACTTAAGAGCCGGTACACTTAACTTCTCTCTGAGTGCGGGGCTTCTTTACTGACAAGCCCAAAGCGAGATGTGTTGGAGCAAGCGGATACGCTAGAGTTGTCCAGTCCAGCATCGTCCAGTCACTCTTCTCTGGGGGCGTTGTCGTCCAGTGGAAAGATGGCGGTCAGGCAGGTCGAGTTCTGATTGGCCGTCATGGTAGCCACAGTGTGGAGAAGAACTAAGACCAGCAAGCAAAGTTTCAGCCGGCCCTGCCCGAGCCGTGGAGCCCCCGAGGAGGTCACGGATGTGTGCTGGCAGGAAGGGTGAGTTCTTTTTAAGGTGCTACGGGAGCGGTTGTTGGACTTCTGGTCCCACCGCACATCACAGCACTCTGGCTCCTGGTTGATGTCTGGTTTTAACCCTGGGGTGTATGCAAAAACACACATCAGTGTTTTATTTGGAAAATTCTTGCGCATTGTATGACACACCAGTATGACTGTCTGACTGTGTTTATGAAAAAAAAAGAGTTCTGGCAAGATTTTCTCAAAGTTATGAACCTTCGTTCAAAGTTATCTGGTCTTTAATAACATGCCCAAAATGTTGAGACAAAAATGTTAGTTATACATCCTTTATGGACATTTTGTCTGAAACATTTTTATTTGGATCTTAGTCTATTTTATTAACTAGTTTCAAGAAGTTCAGAGAACATTCAAAAGTAATGTTCCCTAATTCAACATTCCCTTATTGTTTTTGCTAATGTTCTCAAAAACAAGGAAAATATTTTTTTAAATATTTAAAAAAAATTGGACACATATTTTTGTTAGCTGGTGTTGCCCTAAAATTATTACTTTAAACACTTAAGATATTTGTATAAACTGAATATTCATAAAATCTTATGATTAACTATTCCATCTTGCATTAAAAAGTCTTTGGATTAAAAGGTCTGTCCATTAAACTGCTTGTTAAAGGCATTTTGTTCTTTCATCATGTTTTAAAAGGTTTGTGAAAGGTTTTAAAAGACACTAACTGCTTCATCATAAGCTAAAAAATTTAAAGCAGGCTTTTAAAGCTGTTTGAAGACTTCACCATGTAAAGTGTTTGTACGTGCTTTGAAAAGCATTTGGCTGTTTCATCATGAATTAAAGAAAAGTATAAGGCTGCAGTGTTAAATACAAAGATGCTTCTGTCTGCTCATTAATTGCTTTCCATGGCACTGACATTCATGTGACGTCGTATGCAAATTAAAGCTGAATATAAGCAGAAATAAATGGTCAGCTCATAAGTAAAGATGAAGATGAAAGAAGTTCCAAATAACTAACTTTAAGGCCAAGATGCTCACACTTGAGAAAAAGCTAGTTTAGTGCTAGTGTAGTACATCAACTATTTGTATGCCTTTGTCTTTTGTTCAACCTCAAAAATTAACTTCAAAAATACTGTCACTGCTAATATTGTTGGCACCTATATGATAAATAGCTTTTCCTCATTTAAAAACAATCTGCTAAATAATGTTGATTATTAATATTATTATTATCTTTTAACTATTCATTGATTACAATGATATTATTATTGATTATTGATGAGCATAAGAGATTAGGGTGATGTACAGTTCGTTATACGGCATACAGAAATGTGATATATGGAATATTGCCCTATATCAATATTGCGTAAGAATTTAGTGATATTGCAGAGTATGTTGCTTATAAGGCCATATCTAATATGCATTCTCTAGTTGAAGATATAAGTTTATAACATCAAATATCACAGCAAAAATGTAATATGTACATACTGTATGTTAATAATATATATAATTCTTGTTTATATGTAGCAACCCTATATGTCAACAATATCAACATGTATTGATGGGTTTTAGGATGGTTATTTATCTACATGACATATATGTCCAAAAATGTATTACACATACATAAACACATTTATTTAATTTGGCAAGATATATATGTTACTATATAAAATTGTTCTATTTTTTAATTGCTTGCATATATGTTTTTACTTTATAGCACAATTTCATACATGGAAATGTAATGTATTTAATGTAGTTCATTTCAACGGGAAGAACGCAGTGGGTGTGTTGCTCATGTTACATTAAATGACTACTAAATTATTGTGTCACAAAGCAAGGCCAGACACAACAGTTCCGCGTAGGAAGCAGGCATGGCCATGGGACTTACAGAGGCAGATTGGGGGTTTGCCGGAGGAAGCAGAGAAGCCCGGAGGGCGTTTACCAGCTCCTCCAGGACTTCTGTGGGTGTGGGAGGTTGAGGATCCATGGAGGTATTTGTTATGGTCCGGTCTTCTGTCACAAAGCAAGGCCAGACATGTTTTGTTTTGTTTTGTTTTGTTTTGTTTTGTTTTGTTTTGTTTTGTTTTGTTTTGTTTTGTTTTGTTTTGTTTTGTTTTGTTTTGTTTTGTTTTGTTTTGTTTTGTTTTGAGCAGAGGTCTGACAGTTTCAGCAACTGTCCAACAGATGTCACTAAAAAACTGTATGATAATCCAAATAGCATGTTTCATTTCACTATTTCCAATGTATTTACTTTAAAGAAGTGCTGAAATTATAATGAGAAATGAACAAGCTCTGCTCTATGAAACAAGAACGTGATTTTTTTTATTATTATTTAAATCAAACTTTGTTTCCTGCTGATCTTGCTGCTTTGGATCTCTTTGATGTGCTTAACGTGTTACTTTTTGAGGTATTGATGCTATTAATTATGACTGGTCTCCTACTGCTGTACATAAGATTTGATAAAAAGCTACCTATGAGCAGACTGTACTTTGTTTTTATTTGAAAGACTTTATTGTAATGATTCAGATACAAGATTTAGATTGTTTTAATGGTTACATTTTGACTGTTCAATGCTTTATTACTAACATTAGAATTCTGCTTGACACAAAACATGGAATTATCAGCACTTAAATGACGATTAACATATATTTATAGTGCATAATGCACAATAGATCTCAGAAACTACAATTCAGTTCTGGTTATACGGAGTTCGCAAATATTTGTATACCAACCTGCACATATAAAACTGGGAGTTCCACCATGTATAAGGTCATCATTGTCAGGCAATATGAACGGACACCTCTGCTGGACCTCAAGACAGTACTGTTCACAGGGAATCTTATGACTGCAGCCTGACTGAGGACTCTGGAAATACTGAGCGCAGAGCCAGGGCTTGTAGACAGTCTGCAGAGAGAGCAAGAAAGAAAGAAACAAACAAATAAATAATGCAAACCATGGTCGGATTTCACACATTTTTAAGTTGGATATGCTTTTTTACCATACTCTTACTCTTATGAATCACTCATGAAATCATCAGGGAGAACTATAGGGCAAATGTCAAGATTTTCAGCGAATAACAACCTAAATTTTGGTTTCCTCCTCCTACAAAGCTATCATGTTCCTTCAAAAGACTTAAAATAGATGTAAAATAGAGTTTTACGATACTGCCATGGTTCTTTTTGAAGCTTAAAACCTCAGTCCCCATTGAAAGAGCATTGAAAAGAGCAATAAACTCTTGAATGACTGACTTCACTGTCACTACAGTGCCATAACAAGAGTCATTTTTTATTTCATATACCATTCAGTGACGCGTTATAGCAAATGATTTAACCCAATATCACTATCAATCAATTGTGCAGTACTCAAAGTGACCAGCAGATGGGAGAGTTGCACAGCTCTCCACTTCGGACCTGTTTGCTACATTCATTTATCTGTCTCACAACAGCTCAGTTGCCTGTGCCGCCTCAGTGACATACACAGAGGCCCAACCAGGTCACGCAGACCTCATAAAAACACTGCTGCTTTATGACGTATCTTTGATCGTCTAACCAAATACGCCTACTGCAACATCACTGTGACAAAATGATAGTATTACACTATATATGAAGTGAATTAGTAGCAGAAGAGCGCAGTGGGCAGTGCAAGGAGTGAGCAGAGGACTCCACGGCGCTATAAGAATAGACTTTGCTCATTTATTTTGCCCTACATGCCAGAGCATCCACGAGTGTGTGTGTGTGTGTGTGTGTGTGTGTGTGTGTGTGTGTGTGTGTGTGTGTGTGTGTGTGA